TCCTCCTCGACCCAGGGAGGAGGTGGAGGAGGAGGAGGAGAGGAGGTGGAGGAGGAGGAGGAGGAGGAGGGGGATAACGTGGTGGAGGATGAGGAGGGGGAAAAGATGGAGGAGGAGGAGGAGGAGGGGGTGGAGGAGGAGAGGAGGAGAGGAGGTAGAGGAGGAGAAGGAGGAGGAGGAGGAGGAGGAGGAGAGGAGGTGAAGGAGGAGGAGGGGATGAGAACTGGGGGAGAAGGTGGTAGAGGAGGACGCGGGGGGGGAGAGCAAGGTGGCAAGAAGCGAGAGAGGAGGGGGGAGAAGCGTGACCGTACGGTCGATGTCACATGCAAAATATGAATGAGTGCGAAGTGGCGAATGGGCGGCGGGCTGTATAATGTGGCGGGCGAGCGCAGCGGCCTGCTAGCATGCTGTACACATCGATCGATGTGTACATCAAAGGCGCCGCGGAGCTATGGCCTTGAGGCTCCGACTGTTTGACGTTGTAGGAAACGTAGATAGGAATGTGTGTGTGCTCCCTACTCCCTAACCCTAACCCCTACCCCTACCTACCCTACCCTACTCCCTACCCTACCCTACCTACTCTACCCTACCCTTCCTACGCTACCATACTCTACCCTACCCTACCTACTCTACCTAACCCTACCCTACCCTACCCTATCCTACCCTACCCTACCGAACCCTAACCCTACCCTACTCCTAACCCTAACCCTAACCCTAACCTAACCCTAACCCTAACCTAACCTATCCCTAAAAAATCCCTAACCCTACCCTAACCCTACCCTAACCCTAACCCTAACCCTAACCCTAACCCTAACCCTAACCCTAACCTAACCTAACCATACCCTACCCTAACCCTAACCCTTAACACTAACCCTAACTATATAGACTGACTGAGTATATAGACTGTCGATGTTGCGGCGAGACACAGGAACGTGCGTATTTAGAATATACCAACAGAACACAAGCACCATCTGTGCATGAACTAGATATATATAATATAATATAAGATAAGATAATTAGAAAAGAATATAATAGAAAGACATATAATAGAGCAACATATGTATACATATATATATATACTACAAGTGTGGCGTTATATGTATAGAAGATGAAAGAGCAGAAGTACGCAAAAGCAAGGCACGATATGGGGGTGTAAACGCTACTGTGAGATCCTTGGCCGCAGGCCGGCCGGCCAGCGTGGGCAGAGTGGGAAATAGTCGCCACCGACGCTAGATGGCAGTAGCGATCAGTGGGAGTACAATGGCGGAATGATTACATGAAATGCTGCGATTTGATTGTGCGTTTGCGGAAAATGGCCAAGGGCAACGTTGATTCAGGTTATTGACAGTGGAGACGAAGTTATATGACCGCGTAAGTGGTCCGGGCAACGTCGACGAGAAATGTGACGACCGCAGGACATGAATGGCCACTGAAATGGCGTGAAATACGCGAGCCGTGAAATCGTGACAAATGGTCAAAACAAGGTGAAGTGGCCGGGTGAAACGACGTATTGTCGCGCCTTTGCGACAACAAATGGCCCCTTTCTTGCTCGAAATTAGTTCACAACACCTTCAAGATGACCTCTGTCAATTTTTAAGACTGTACCCCCACATTAACCAAACTCACGACATGGGTGTGTAAACGCTACTTTGAGCAAAATATCAGTGATAGTTTGATGAGTAGTGAAAATTTACCTGCTCCTGCTGGGCGCTGCCATTTTGGAAAATCGTCAGTGACGCCTGGTGGTAAATATCCGCATTATTACTTCTCACATATGTGTACAGTATGTGTTAAAAATTTCAGAAATGGAAAAAAGTTGTGAAACTCAAAGTATGTACACAAATGTGGACGCGATGCAACAAAGGGGGGGGGCACAATTATGTGGGCACAATTATGGCATAGGCATCTCATCAGGGGATTCTCTTAGTGTAGAAAAGATACAAGAGATAAAAGACTTTATGTTCAGACTCTTTGTAGGGTGTGTGTTTAATATCGTTTACGAGCGAGCTCTCATGGCTCCATAGTGTACAAACAAGTGCATATGGCTACATAGTGTACAAGCAAGCGTCGATGGCTCCATTATCATAATCATATTCTACAGCTTATTCTTTTGAATCTGCCCAACTTATGGGTATCTCAATGCTAAATGCAAAATAGCTTGCTTACTTACGATTGTGGAGACGTTTCAAAATATAAGCGAACTCTTCTTAACACTGTGCCCCCGCTATCACCCAAACCCGGTCAGGATAGAACTAAAAATACATCCACTGGTCAAAATATGTTTCTCTGATGCCAAAACTGATCACAACTGCAAAAATGTGTTTTTGGCCCGCTTTACCTTGTTTTTGAAGTTGTATCAAATTTGCTACATTGGTAAATAACGGAAAATGCTAACATAGCCAAGTTTGAAATTTGTTAAAATATATTAGTTTTTAATCATTCATAAGACTGTTGTAATAATTCAAATCAATATTATTTTTGTTACAATCAACATATCAATGATAAATGCATTAATTATACAAATACAGATGAAGAGCAATTTTTGTTCACTATATTCAAGCATCAGCCCTTGTCTTGTCTCATATGGAACAGTTATTTTTCATGGAATGCAACAACGCAGTTTCTGCTTTTGTTAAGACACAGATAAACTTGACACTTTTTGCATTTAATTTATGAAACTCCATCTGGGCAGTACTTCCACCGCTGACGTGCACGTTTAGCAGGAACTGGCCAGTGGTCAAGTTTGTCATACCTGACATCATTAGGCGTGTTCACACACAAGAAAAACCGCGCTGCTCATCCCGCTAATAGCGGAGATAATAGTGAGCTAATTGTGTCGTTGTTCACACAGGCGGAAATATCTCGCTAATCGCCGAGTGGGATAACACGCCGCGGTGCAAATAAGCGCAGTGGGAAGTGTTCTTTGCAGCGCGCTATTTTGAGCGTGATTTAGTGAGCTAATTGCGTTCACACTTGTAAAAAGCTCGGTTTTTCGAGCGGGCTGCAAAAACCGTGTTTTGCAGCTCGCTAATTCGCGCCAGTGTGAACGCATCTATTGACTGGATCATTTTGCTTCAATTTCTTTATCGGGCATGACCTGGATTCGATTGAAGGCCTGCCGCGAAATGGTGTGCCACATTTACATAATGCCTGTGCTACCATGGCCTGAAATGTTTTAAGTGGCATTGTCTTCTGCATGCCATCTAATATTGTGCAGTCTCGCCGGTAAAGGAACCATGCATTGACAAGAGCAATTGTGAGTGTGTGATAAAATACGTACAAGTACCACCTTTTGCTCTTCAATTGATATCGGTGTAATCGGTATATATTCACATCATATCTAACAAATCGACACCACCCATTGGCTTGTTATACTTGACAACTAGAAATTTACCCGAGTTGAGAGTGAAATGGGAAGGAGGGGCAATGTTCAGTGTGCGTGTGTAAGTTGGGATTTTGTGTTGCTGGCACTACTGATGAGAGCAACAACGAAGGAGGGAATCAGATTTTGTTCTGTTTTTGGTTGTACTGTGTTTAGATGAATAAAGAAGCGTGGAATTTTGTTTGATAATTGAGTTTTATTTTTATTTATAGGCCATACATGTATGATGAAAACATTAGTGCTGGCGACATATGTGGCGACATATGCTGGTTTGATTGTAAATTGACGACGTTTGAAGTCAAATGACAGCCCATAGTCTGATGGAACCATTGTAATCCTTGGGATGAAGACGTTGGTGCTACTTTTTTCCCAGTCATGATTTCTGCTTCAATAACGCGTGGTGAGAGGTTGACAATGCGCAGGCGTGTGCCATTGAGTAATCCATTTTTGGGGTCCAAGTTTCTCAGTAGGATTACTGGTGTGTTTTTGTGTAGTGTTAGTTTGTGTGGTGGGAGTCCGGAAGGCAGCAATGAATTGAGGAATTCGATTGGGTAGAGGTAATGCTGTGTAGTGTCGGCGACCGAGTCTGCACTGAGATAGGTTGTCGTGTGTTGTGATTGTTTTCTTATGATGATGTTGTTGATGTTGTCGACATTTTCATTTGTAGTGCATAGTATTGCTGTTTTGTAGTCAATGCTATTTAAGTTCGGGAAAACATCATTGATGAGTTGTGCGAGTCCTCCATGTATGAGGTCGATGCATATTTGTGGTGGCAGTCGAATCATGCATGGGCCAATGTTTGGGTGGGTTGATTCCTTGCCATCTCCAATGTCGATGAGGAGTTTCTGGAATTCATCTGCGTTATGAGATTGAGAAGTGTTGAGTCGATCGTTAAGTGGAAGAGATGCACATGTTGCCAAAGGAAGGAGTTTTTCAAGTTGCTGGCAACAATGTCTGCTTTGCGGCCATGTGTTATAACTGATAGTATTTGGCGAAAATCGCCTCCAAGAAGTATGGTCTTGCCTCTAAATGGTATTTTGTCATCAACGTCCATGAGATCACAGAGGGCTCTATGAAATGCTTTGAAGACGTATTTGTGCATCATGGGGGCTTCATCCCATATCCTTTGTTTTTAGAAAAATAACTGGTTTGGAGTAATAATTAAAAAAAATTCACTTGATATTCTTAAGAACGATTATAAATGGCTTTAAAAAGATAACCAACAAAGAAATTCAAATCTAACTTTTCTTTTCTGTTTTTAATTTAGAAGAACGCTTTTTTCCAAAACGCTATAAATCCATACATTCGTTTTTTCCCAAAATGCTACGTATCAATTTTGATATAAAACTGGCTTATTTACATGCATAATTTGTAAGAGGGCAGTTATTCACAGTCATGATTAGTCCTCATTACTGCTGCGGGGGTCATTCCCAATATTTCCCTCTGAGAAGGCAGCTTCGTAGAAATTAAGGACAGCTTGATTGGCACCGATTTCAGCCAGCAAGGATCGAACGTCGGTTTTTTTGGCATCCTTCACAGTGCTTTGACTTGGAAATTCAGTGGGTTTGAAATCTGGCCATTTTTTGCCACGTTTTAGTAAACTATGGTAGCAGTAGGGGAGGGCGGGGCAAGAGGGCACCCTTAACTTTTGAATCAGTATTCCTTAGTAGCTGAAAGTAGGAGGGCAATGGTGAGTGTTGCAGTATAAACTGTGGCACTGTAACTACGGCCTGTATGGAGGTTGAGTGAGTCTTGCCATTCATTCTGGATATCTAGCGACAAGAACATTTTTTGTTGAAGGGTGCCGTTTTGTACACTAGTCGTACAAAACGGCACCCGGTATTGGGGCAAATCGGCCCCCCCCCCATAAAAGTGAAAGGAACGTCCTTGTTTTGTATTATACAAAGAAATTTATTTGTTAGAACACCGAAATTAACATCTGTCGAAGAACCAACAACAATTTTGAACATAACATCAAGCTTTGGGGTAGTCATGTAGATCCCCGGCAGAGACACCGAAATTAACATCTGTGGAAGAACCAACAACAATTTTGAACATAAAACTCCAAGCTTTGGGGTAGTCACGGAGATCCCCGGTGGAGACCGAACGGAACACGAATCGCCCTGTTTGTGACAGCGACAGTTGCACAGTGTGCAGCGACCCTACAACACAAAGAGACATACTAGACAGCTGACGGAATACGTCAGGGACCTGACTTTGTCCATGATTACAAACTTGAACAATTTAAGGTCGGACGATTGAGACGTCTTAGGGTGCATAATCCACTACGGTACCCGTACCGGTACTTGCCATTCCCTCAGGGAAATGACTAGCCTATCAGACGATTAAGCACAAATGTCACATATCCAACTATAGGTGTCGTTATCCACCCCAGCACATTCGGTATGTGCCCACAATTTGCAAGAACCCTGGCACTGTATCCAAGGATCTCCCGGGATTTCTTTCTCTCCACAGAAAAAACATTCAGTATCATCAGCACCCTGGTCATTTGATAGTTGCTGCAGTAGCTTCCTCTTTACAGGTTTCGTGCCTTTAACTGGTTTCTTCCCACCTGACTTTGGGATTCTCTTGGTCTTCTCAACTGTCTGTTGCTGTGACTTCCCTGTCTTCAGCTTCTTGGCTGATTTCAACTTGCGTTGGTACGGACTAGCTGTGATGTGTTCTGCGCTGCGTTTTCTGCTGGGAGCTTTAGCCTTTTTCTTTTCTGCCTCTTTTGCTTGAGGAAGTGGGGAGATAACAAATGGGGAAATATAACCATCACTGGCATCTGAGTTCTCGGTGAAGGAAGCATTGAATATCTTTGATCTACGGTCAACAACCCTAGAAACCTTATTATGATCACGTGCAGGCAGGGGGTTATGGTCCTCTGTTGTAACTGATAAAGTGCGGGGAAGTTTCTCTGGCGGCGGGCGGCCCAAGGCAGCTGGTACAGAGGTGCAGGGAAGTGTCTCTGGCGGAGGACGGCCCAATGCAGCTGGTGCAGAGGTGCAGGGAAGTGTCTCTGGCGGAGGACGGCCCAAGGCAGCTGGTGCAGAGGTGCAGGGAAGTGTCTCTGGCGGAGGACGGCCCAAGGCAGCTGGTGCAGATGTGCGGGGAAGTGTCTCTGGCGGAGGACGGCCCAAGGCAGCTGGTGCAGAGGTGCGGGGAAGTGTCTTTGGTGGAGGACGGCCCAAGGCAGCTGGTGCAGAGGTGCGGGGAAGTGTCTTTGGTGGAGGAGCGCGGCCCACGGCAGCTGGTGCAGGAGGGTTGTGGACTGTCTCTGGTGGATTAGCACGGCCCAAGGCAGGTGGTGCAGGAGTGCAAACTGCCAAAAAATAATGTTTTCTTAAGGAAATAAATAAGAAACCTCCTCTTATTGTTGTAAGAAAGTGTACATGTACTAAGAACATATTAAACATGCAGTGCAAAAAGAGCAAGATATCGATCAAAATGAGCAAAATATTATATACCATTAATGGGTGGCAGTGCTGGTGGTTCATTTGCTGCAGACTGTAGCTCATTGACTGTCTCACACTTACCGTGGGTCTCTGGTACCTCTAGCTGATCAGGGACATCTGGTATCTCTGGCTGCTGATCGGGGGCGCCTTCTATCTCAGGCTGCTGATCGGCGTCGTCTGGTATCTCGGGCTGCTGATTGGGGGCCTCTGGTATCTGAGGCTGTGGTTGCTGATCACGATAAACATCTGTAGCATCTGCAGGGGCAAACTCGTAGTCTTGGAAAATGTCCCTGTTAAGAGGAAAAATCCCTGTTTTCCTGAACCCATTTCTAGCAGTCAGGGCTGTTGCAGATTTCAAATAAGCTTCAGTGAATAGTGCAGCCACCTGGTATATTGTAACACAACGGCCTGGGTGGTCCCTTAGCCATCGTTCAACTTCCTGCGTGTAGAAAGTTGAGAGCGGACGCATGAATGATACGTCTAATGGCTGGAGTTTATGGCTGGTGTGAGGTGGTATTGAAACAATGTAAACCCCATTAGCTCGTGCGAGGTCTATAACCTCAAGATTCTGTGTATGCGTAGCGTGTCCGTCCAGGATCAGAAGAACTTTATTTTCCACAGTGGCACCTGACTGCTGAATGAAATGTCTGAACCATCTCACAAATATGTCGACCTGCATCCACCCGCTCTTATGGTATGCTGCAACGGCACCAGGAGGTGCTGCGTCCATTAACTGCCGATTCTCTCTGACTCTTGGGAAGATGAACAATGGTGGAATGAACTGACCTGTAGCACTCATACAGATCTCGGTGGTGGTCAATGTCCCCCTCTCAGCCGACGTACGATTGCCAACTTGCCGGCGACCTCTTAATGCCAGAACTGAAGACGGAGTGTTTGGAACAGTAGTAACACCAGTTTCATCACAATTATAGATGTTTGAGGGAAGAAACTGATGCTCTTGACACACTGCTTCCAGAATGTCGAAGAAGCGGCCAACTGCATCTCTGTTAAACCCATTTGCACGTGCTGCTGAGGTATTTTCTGGTTTGCGTAAGGACAGTTCCTGATGACGCTGGAGAAAGTTTGTCATCCAATCCTTTCCTGCTATTTCATTCTTAAAGCAGTGATTAATTTCATTTCTTTCTGCTATCTGGTATGCCAACGAACGAAGCTCTTTGGTTCCGATGCCAAACATTCTTTCTTCCATCAGGACTACATAGCGCACAAGATCACTTTCCATTTCTGGTGTCAAAACAGTTTCATATCGACCAAGGACCTTACTTGCCCCCTTAGCCTTTTTGTTCGTATCATGCACTCGACGTTTCAGTGTCGTTTTAGGCACATTGAACTGTCTGGATGCTCGTTTCAGCCCCATTTCTTTACTACGGACAGCCGTTATTGCCTGTTCCATGGACACCGTGTCCCATGAGTTTCTGGTGGATTTTCGCTTGTATTCTCGTGGCATCTGTAATGAAGAAGGACGATTCGTTATTACCCTTTCAGTCCTAACACATGAATAATCCTAGGGCTAGGCACACCTACAATGGCAGACTTTACTAATATAGTGCTACCATCTGCCATTAGGGGCCTCACCTGGTTACCGGTCCTTTGTACACAGATTAACTGCTTTATGCATTAGAATAGGACTGGCTATTACTTGGTTAATCAGATTAGGATTGAGTTTAGGGTTAGGTTTAGGATTAGCGTTAGGATTAGAACAACCACTGTCATTAACCAAAATGACCCACAACTTGTTAGTAAAAAGATGATGAAAAATGAGCGTGCCAGCAAGTCAGGTGGGGAAAAACCCAGCCGCCACATGATGGCAGAGATAACAACAAAGTACATGACTGACTTCATGACGTCAGAAATTTCCTCATGACAATGAAATTACGTCACGGTGACTCGTAATGGCGCAATGATTTCACAACGTCACAGATGACGTCCTTTGAATGGCTGCAGAAAGCCGAGCTTGGAAAAATGGTAATAAAGTCAGGATTGCGGCCACCAGGGGTACTATATTTTTGCGATCCCGTTTTGAAATCAATCCTATGGCGTCCTAGATTTAATATGCCATCTCAATTTTCATGTTTTCTTAAGAAATGAAAGATTCCCTCGATATTTTGACACAGCCATGCATTGGATGTAGTGACTAGGACCGCTAGGGGGGTGACACCTAACGGCAACATGATATACTAACCGAGGTTTGGTAAAGTCCCTCATTGAATTTCAATGCCAAAACTACATTGGAAACCAATTCACGACAAAGGGGCAAGACGGCACCCCCTGCTGGGGGAAAACGGTACTGGGTGCCGTTTTGCCTCAGCGAGGGGATGCCGTCTTGCCCCTTGGGTATTAGTGTAGAAAAATATCGGGCAGCAGAAAAACACAATGCAGAAGTAACGAATAAGGGCTTTCATGTGGAGGCACTCGAGCATGGTTGTGCACACGTGACATATCATCGGCATCTACATTGCCTCTAGGGTGCAGTGCACAGTACAGCATCTTTCTTACCTTTTAGTGAAACTCACCTTTTTGAATATCTGTGAAGAAACGGGAACAGTGATCTCTTCAAAATGTCTGCCATTCATGTGAAACTAGTTGGTCACGTGCCCCATTAGTACGCAACACATATGCTAGGTGGGGCCACCTCTAAGTGGTCGATTTGACAGTGTGCCGTTTTACCTAGGGGTACCGTCTTGCCCCGCCGTCCCCTATTCGCCCGCATAGGTGGTTTTGAATCCAACATGGTCGTTTTTCATATCGGGCATCCGTGCTTCGCTAATTTTGAAAGACTTCTTTGTCTCTTCACAAATTTCTTTGTGGCAGCCTTGAAGTGCATTGAATGCATCATCTGCTGGGTTCGATTGCGAGTCCACATATCTCCACCGTTGTACATCTGATCCCTCTCGAATCACAGCTATACGGTTAGCGACAAATGTATGAAAACGAGCAGTCTCATTAGAAAGATATCTGATTACAGACATACTATCGGTCCAGACGGTGCTATTTATGCTGATGTAATTACTGTAAATATAATTATGTTAATTATGTTGAGCTATCTGTTCAATATATTGAAACCTTTTGATACAGATCAAATAGTTTTAGTGCTTTGTATTGTTATGTTTACAATGTGTCACCCTAAACAACAAATAAATTTGTTATGTTTGTTGGTTAAAAAATAGTTTGTCTACTCTTTATGCAAAAAACATTTATGCATTTACTGGGACAATACATGTGCGGAAATTACACAGGAAAAAACACACAGAAATGATTGCATCTGCTAATTCTGACTCTGTATTATTTAAGGTGGTTTTTAGGATTTTGTACGTCTTCGCAAGTCCTATGATTCTCTCAACGTGGACACGCTTACTTGCAATTTTTCTGTCCTTTGTAACACTTTTGGCTGACATTCTGTTATGATGATATAGAAAGTTTATCCATATGACAAACACATTTGTTACTTCCTTTTTATTAATTTCAAAAAGCATAGACAGCTCAAAATTTGTTTGTGCCAGGCGTAGTTTTACAATGTTAAAAATAACTGATCTTCAGGGGCGAGAGAGGGTGACACACCATAATAATAGTTGAGTGCATTAGTCTCTCCTAGAGCCCTGAACAGCAAAATAAAATTGCCGTATGTTTCCAAACCAGTATATTAATGAAGGCGTTGTGGATGAAATGCAAAATTTGATGCTGTCATTCCTCCGCTTGATTTTGTTTGTGTAGATGCATCTTGAGACAATATTTCTGTAGGACGTCCACCACCTGAAAGGTCTGCCTTTTCATCGTGACATTTGATGTCCACCTCAGCTCCAATTTCCTGCCATGCATGAAGACTTTCTTTAAGTCGAATATCTTCTAAGTTCGATCTTCTTCTGGCCCGCTATTTCTGTTTCAGTGCTGAGTCAGTCATTGTTTTCCAAACCAAAATGTGTGGGACAGCACCTGGTTTGAGGATTTTATTAATAGTGGCACCCTCTGAAAAATAATTTCACATTTAATAACAATTGCACAATCATAAACAATATGCATTTTTTATTTGCACATGTAAAGTCCTCTTTAATCTAGACGAGGGCCTGGATGCATATGTCTGCAGTATTTAAAATGATATGTGGTACATGGTACGTGACACATTTGTGTATGCTCTAGTTTGAGCCTTAAATAAAATTTAAGTGTTATTTAAATGTAATTGTGTCATTTAAATTTAAATGTCATTTACATCTACTTGCGGTGTTATTAGTCATTGCGTTGTGTTATTAGTAGTTAGTGAGATCACGTAAAGACACTACTTGGTGTAGATTACTATGTGGCTACAACGGCGAGTATAAGTGTAAGCCGCAAGAAACATAGGAAGTAGAAGAGAGAAAAGTGAAGTTTTTTCTAAGGGAAGACTTATAAGAAGGGCTTCAAACAGGCGTAACTGGGCGTAACTACACTTGCCCAGTGGTCATTTATTCTTTGTGAAAAGGAGAGCGCCTAATCGTTTTGGCACTCTGATTTGAAGTACACGGGCAGTGGGGATTTATGAGACAGGAGAAGGCCGCACGGTGCGCTTTAGCTAAAGTTATGATGAGGGGCGGACGTGATGTGGGGGCCGGAATGTTTCTGGGGAATGCGCCAAACGTTTTATTGGTCGCCTTCCCCGTCGCGTCGTCATGACTGACTGTTGCTCTCTCGCGCATGTGCTGTGGTGCTCCGACGTCGCGACTAGTCAGAGACATGTGCTGTGGTGAACCACTTATACTGCTCCGCTTTCCAACGTCACAGACATGCGCTGTAAGAGCCAGTCATGATGCTGCGTTCACTGGTCGTGCGCAGTGCTCTCTATCTATTTAAAAACTACTACGCTATTTAAATCCGCCGTGCTATTTAAATCTCGCGCACTCCGTAAACTACCACGCTCTGTTACACTGCATTAGCACCATATATACCGAATGACACTGGATATAACCAAAACAAAAACCCTGCAAGAGCAGAATGAAAACACAAATTAATACAAAGTCATCTTTTCTGGCAACACAAATATCTCATTTAATTACTTTACAGAAATAATACGGTTCACTCCAAGCCTCATATCATAGACTACACAAATAATCACAACACTAATCTATCAAACATCTGATCATGAAGATAATATAGTAAGTTTTTGCAACAATTCCCTTCCATCAAAGTGGCAAAGAAAGCACATAAAACTTGATTGCCCCAACTAAATACTCTGTATACATGTACATCCTCTGCTACATAACATCTTTATGCAGACAAATTTTTAGTAGAACGTAACAGTTGTATAAACGGTGGTAACTTATAGATTTATTGTAAACCCGGATAAAACAATACACATACCAGTCAGCTGCCGGGTGACGTCTCTCCCGTTCTACCCAAACCCCTGCCCTTTTATCTGCCTCTCTCGTCATCGACCTGTTTCTACGCTTATTGTCAAGGTTTGTTGCCCCTTGACCGGTTGCCCGTATATACCGTCATTAAGGCGTCCCTTAATGATGGCTGGTTGACAATTTTAGCTCTGTTCTTGGGTAGAGTCGAGGCCGTTGTACCCCTCGTCCGGTCGTGAGAATCGTCCGTACCTCCCTTAATGACCATATCGGCCATACCGTCCGTCACGTTAATTTATATGCCTAAGTAGGCAGTTAATGTCTGGTGGGGCCATCCGTCAGTCGTCCCTGAACGATTGTATGTGCTTTCTCTCTCTAACGTTCTCACGGTACAACATTTCTCTACTACATGAGTTCTCATGTGTTTCTTCGTACTCGGGCTGGAGAAGGTCTAAGAAGAGTTCTTTCTTAGAAGGCTCCTCTCTCAGTTTCCTGAGAGTACTATCCGAGTCACTTAATACTCGTCCGAATAAATCTTTATCTCGAGTTAGGACGCTGAATGGGTCTTGTGTGCAGGCTCTAATCTCCGAAAGAACATCCTTGGCAACACTGATGCCCTGGATATGATCTAGCTAACTCTCTGCTGAAGTGTAAAAATATTGCATCCATGGGCCAGTCAACATTTTCCACAGGATTCCAAGGACTTTGATCTCTGCTACTGCTGTAGGGTCTTCAACGTCTTTCTTTATAGAAGACTGCAGGCCACCACATGACACTGTTCCTGTCTTGAAAATCTCAAGAAGGTGTCATAGTATTCAATTAATTTTCCCTAAAATATGAAAGAGCACATGCAGCCTATTGGCACGATACCGAGGTATTATCCCGCATGGCACTCGTTCATCGTCCAGAAAAACCTTGAATCCTTTCGGATCTTTTTATCGAAATTTATTTACTTGCAGGACGATGTTACCTGCAATGCAATCGTTACCGAATAGCTTTCCCTTGCTGGGTTTCATTGCTTTGAGGGCAGAGCGACAAGAACTAGCGATGATATCCAGTGGATGCGGATGGCAGTTAAACCCATTTAATGTTTTCCCCACATTTCACCAAGCTTTCTAATTGTTGCACGATTTACCACGACTCGATCTGTCATCGAGTTAGATATATTCCCAATAATAGTTGAACGAGAGTGCTGATAGTCAGCCTGATGAAAATCTGAGTACACCATAGCAAGATGGTCAACAGAATCACAGACATTATAAGTTATGTAATATTATTACACAGATATTATTATATAATATATTCACAGTTATTATAAATGTGGTGTACATATCTGTTTTCATTTGTGATCAAGTCAAGAACATGAAATATTAACCTGAAAAGCCAGCAACTACATCAGTTGGTATTTTCGCAGCCAGTCCTATCTATTGAGTGTCACTATATTTACCACGATGATAATCCAAGTTTAGCGCGGACTATTTGACAATGTTAGCACGAGTGCGTGCACTCATGTTTCGCAGGCGTGCGTTTTGATTGTTCGAACGAGTATACTTGTGTTTCGCTTGGTAACGTGTTAAACGAGATTCAAACTATGTTATTGCTATTTTTGTGGCAATAACTTGAATATTTAATAATTATCTGTTTGCAGATGAGATTTCCCAACAGAGGGAGGAATCATTCCACTTGACAAGCCCCAAAGAAAGACGTTTCTTGTCTTGGCAGGTGAATATCGCTATAATATACATCGAAAACATGGAACACATAAACGAAGTCGTACATAAAACAATTGTAGCAATAATGGTAATGTAGCGTTCACGATGACAGAAGTTGGCCATGTGTGGGGGAAAAAAGCATCTGCTAGTGTTTGTGCCAGTGGGACATAGTGGGAGAACACAGTGAGCTTAATTATTAAATAAACTATTATGTTGCCTATTCTTTCAGACATGGGACCTTCTCAGAGTGATGTACTTTGGTTTCACGGGCTTGGTTTCAAGTTTCATGGAAAGGCACCCAGATAACTTCATATCAACACTGAGAATTAATGGAAGTGCTGTTGAGACACTGTTTTCACAGTTTAAGGCTCGAGCCGGAGGTAAACTGAGTTCATTAAACTATGAGACATCTCTGAGGAGTTATTTGACCAAGATAAACCTAGCAGTAGCAACAAAAACCATTCATTATAGTGCGAGAGGCTACAGAGATGTGGAGCTTAAGATATCACACGCACCAATGATAAGAAAAACTAAGAAGTAGAGATTGCACATAGTATAGCTGCCTCAATACTTGTTATACAGCTACAACACCGATTTTCCCACGTGGCGAC